TATTTGTTTCATTTTACAGGCTTATTACATTCATCAGCCCAACCTAAGCACCCAAACACAAACAATCCAAATATAACGCATTTTACAAGTAACCCCGAAAGCCCAAAATGCAAAATAACAAATGGAAACCCTAGGGAACAAGCACTCTAGTCGTCTCCAACATCTCCAAGGTGTCTCCAGCTTGTACGCGCGTTCACGACATGTGCCAACTCCAATGCGCCCAACAGTCAACTTCAAATGCCCAAGCACTGATGAAGGACCCCCTCGCCCTCTGTTCTCTCGATAATTTTAGCAAGAAAATCCTAATTTTGAAAAAAGAGGAAACACGATTTCAAGGGATTCGAATTAAATCACAATGGGATATGCAAATCCTAAATTTTGATGTAAAATGGGAATGTTTTCATGTATAAACCGATAAAAAAAATTGAGAGGGGAAATCGATCAAAAAAAACAATGGGAAAATAGGGGAATTCATGGAATTGTAACTCAACATTTGAAATCAAATAAAGAATTGTTTTTACTTCCCTTCCTTCTTTTTATGTTCAAGTATATTCTAGTGAGATTTTCGACAAGTAATTTATTAAAAAAGAGAAAATAAAGTGAGTGAAATAAAAAGCAAAAGAAAAAAGAATAAGAAAAGAATATTACCTCTCATCCGGCGGTTTCACCGGCGTTCGGGAGGTCTTTTCGTAGATCCAACTGTTGAGAAAGAAAGGAAGATGACATATAACAATATATCTCAAAACCAGAGCGATCCAATGACAGATCGAAGAGAGAGAAACTGAATGGTTTTTGGCTGATTTGGAGTCTTTGAGGCACTCCCCGACGATTTAAACCCTAGATATGAATTCTTCTCGTCAAGACAAGCTTACTGGGGAAATTTGGGCTTCATCGGAGACCGACGACTGTGGCATCCGGCCAACGACTTCTCGGTGAACGACAACGAGCGGTGACGGTTTACTAGAGAGTGGGGAGAGCATCTCTCTTTAGAAGTTTTTGAGAGATGAAACAAATGACGGAAAATGCTGAAAATGGACTAAAACAGAATATTTATATTCTCACCAAAACGACGTAGTTTTGACAAAGGTTGCATGGTTACTAAAACAGTGTCGTTTCATTTGATCCGTTTCTGTCAGCATATTCGAGAAAATCATGGCCTCGATCCTTCCATCTTTCCTAATATTTTATTTCGATCCTCTTTGACTTTACTATTCATTTTATTTTTATTTACATTTTTTATGTTTTTATTTTATTTTTACTTTCTTTTTTTTTTCAGGTTACTCCCGACTAACACCCTTGATTTTCTTTTCTTCTAATTTAATTTTTGCTTGTTCATTTCAATTTTTTAATTTATTTCACTAATTATTTTTTCATCTTTTAATTTGGTATTAGTAATCATTTCCATTACTTTTTTCTTATACGTTTTCTTAATGTTTTAGGTTTTTTGCATAAGGTATGTAATAATTTATTTATTTATGGTATCTTATTGTTTTCTTCTTTTTATAAATTTTATGGAAAGTGAGTTAATTTTCATATTTATTTATTTCCTTTTAGACAATCCTATTTTTGTAAAGTATTTCATATGTTACTAATTAAAACTATTCCTTTTTGAGGGAAGTCAATAATTAAAGATTCTCATTTTAATTTATTTGATAATCTTTCATTTATTCCACCTCTAACATTTTTTTCGTTTATTTTAACTTTTTTGTTTATTTATTTATTCATTTAATTTATTTAGAATTTAATCTATGGAATAATTTTAATTTAATTTCCGTATTGTTTTTTCCAGGTTTCCTCACGTCAACTGTATAGTTTTTTAATTTTTAGTTTAATTCATTTTAATTATTTTAATTATTTCCTTTTATTCCTTACATATATTCATTTTTAAATATTTATTTATTTGACATTTTATTTTGTTTACTTAATTATGGTAGCTTTGCTCTTGCCTAAATTTGCTTCAATCTGGTAGTTTTGTTTCAATTTATTCATTCTTTAATTTTATGTTTGATTTGATTTATTTGTCCTTTCATTTATTCATTTGTCTTTTAATAGTTATTTTTTTTCTAAATTAATATATTTATTTTAATTTTGATATTTGTGTATTTATGTTATTTTATTTATTTGTTACTAACATTCTACTCTTTTATTTTTCCCTTTTTAGGATTCACCTTTTATTCCTCTATTTATTCATTTTCAAAGGGTACACCTTTTATTCCCTCCATTTATTCCTTTCCAAAGGTTTTTCTTTATTTGACTTTTTATTTTGTTCACTTAATTGTTGTGCTTCTATTTTATTGATTGCATAACATTCCTTTATTTTTCAAGCATGAAAACCTCATACGCATTACACGAACTCTTTTCAATAATAAATTAAAAGGCCATGCACATTCAGTTTAAATTATTAAAGAATGTTATCCTAATCCACCTGGATAGCTTGATTTGATAATTTAAAGTTAATGAGTACCCTCTAGTGAAATAGATACAAAACTTGATAACTTTTAAAATTGACCAGGAGGGTAGAAAGGGGAAATGTTCTCATATTTAGATTTATCGAAAATTAGCCTCTCGATCCTATTCGTAGGTTTAAGTTCAATATTATAAATATTCGAACATCCCCTATATATCTTAAAGGCCGATAATTCTCATTAATAAAATTCTTGTTTGTTGTACAACTTTAGGCAAATAAATACCATGAATAAGATATTCCTTATTTCCATCTATGGAATTGTCACTCTACCTTATATTAGGTGATGATTCCCTTTTGGTTTGAAATGTTGGAACGTCAATTAAAATTTTCGATGAAGAGATTAGTGATTGGTCAATTTAATTGAGAATGAAAGAGATATCATTCTTCCTCATATATGGTGGTTAGTTTTCTCAGTTAAATGTTCGAATTGTTAATTTCTTCTCTTGTATTTTAAATATCATGGTATTTATTTAACTAAGTAAGGGATCATTAATTACATTTAAGTCTGAATCCATAAGTTCCATTGCAAAGACAATAATTAATCGACTAGGTACCGATTTTCGGGCGTTGTGGGATGCTAACCTTTTCCTATGCGTGATCGACTCCTAAACCTATTTTTCTGGAAAGTAGACCAAAACGTTATTTTAATAATTTTCAAAATTAAATTTTATTAAAATAACAACATTTTGGGTGAACCTATCACACCCTAAACAAAGATTGGTAGTGGCTGTATCGAACCACAGTTTATTTTAAAACTCGATTTTTAGTCGAAACAAACCCCTAAAATTGAACCATCGATTCTTCGGGACGTTGCGACACAGCTACTGAAGTTACTTAACTGAAAGCATTGTTGACTGATCTTGGTCTGCCACAGCGCAAGGAGCCTATTGTTTGGTGCGACAACACAAATGGTGTTGCGATGAGCGCAAACCTTATCTATCATGCTCAATTGAAATACATAGACCCGGACGTGCACTTCGTGAGGGAAAAAGTGGCTACCAAACAACTACAGGTGAACTATGTTCCTGCCTCCTGCCAGATAGCAGACGGGTTTACTAAACCGTTGTCCAAGGCTTCCTTTGAAGATTTTCGTGATAGATTATGTGTTCAAGCTCTCTAAATGAAAAAGTCAGGAAGGAGTAGAGTGAATAATGGAGCTATTATTATATTGTGTAGGCGTGGCTAGTTCCTAGCCTTGCAGTTACCTAAAGTTTTAAAGTTTTTAGCTAGCTTGTTAGGGTTAACAAAATGTTGTTAGCTCCTGTGTTGTATATAAGCTAGATATCAGTGAACTCTCTAATCAAGAAAAGTTTCAATGCATTTTTTCTGAATTCTTTACGTTTCTCATTACATACAGTAGCCATAGTTCCAACAAGACACTTCCTTAACCTCTCTAGTGATTCTTCCTCCACATGGCCATGGATTCTCTTGTTACTCTTTTCCTGCTGCCGTGCTGCTCAAGTTCTCTATTCTTCCTTGTATTGAACCTTTAACCTTACATTTTCAAATGTACCTTACCACAATGCTTCCAATTCTTTGCTTCTCATATTGTTCTTCAGAGTTGACTGCTTTTCTCTCGCCCTTTGTAGAGGTTCTATTTTTGGGTTATGATACATGGATTCTAAATCCATACAACACAAAACCGTTTAATCTTTCCATCGCCCTGGTTTCATCCCTTCTATTTGAAAATCTAACAAAATCAATTCTCTTCCCTGTTCTGCTATGGAGTTGACAACATCCCCATGTCTTCCAAAAACTTGACTTAATCCGCTCCAGTGCAATTTTGTTGGGATGTTGCGAACGAATAGGGTGACTATCTGTCTGGCTTCCATTTACTCCAAACATGTCATGAATGGGCAAAGCTGGTCTCTACTTCGAAATTTTCTGCCAACAAGCTTGGGGGAGCTTATGTTTTAGGTGTATATTAGCTCAAATAATAGAAGCATACAAATTATTATGCTTTGGTATTGCTTAATCCTTATTGAACTTGGTTGCACATTATAACACATGTATAGTGTGGATAACGCAACATGTGACAAGGTTCTCATGTAATTGAAATTCGATAAATATTTTTTTTAAATTCACACAGCGTTGACATTTCATTTGGAAAATAAATTTCATATTTTGGTTATTTTCCTAGTTTATTTTCAAGTTTGTTGTTGTAGATGGTAAGAATAGTTATGTCGATTTGAATGTTTAGGCCCAAGCAACATTCATGTATTTGCTGAAGCAATGCCATCTCTCTTTGCTCGGATTTCTTCATTTATTCGACACACTTTCATCCATTGCTTCAAATTCATCAATTTCTTCCATTTTCAAACCGTATAGGTCTGATTCAACCGGTTTGACCATAGCCTGTTCTAATCCATCTACACATAAGATAGAGAAGAGGAGATGACTAAACTTTGAGACATTTACTGCTGCATTCACATTTATTTCACCAGAAGCTGTAGCTAGTTTTGGAGGTAAATAAAGCATTTACTGGGGGAGGTAAATAAAGCATTTACTGGTTATGCATAAAGGCCTTGAGACCTCAATGAATCAAAATGCACAACTCGGATATTATTGAATTCGAAAACTGTACAATGGTCACAATTCAAACACATATGCGCAAGTTCAAAACATGGTATTCATCGAAGTATCAACTGCAACAATAAAAAGCACATTGCGGGAATTTTTCTCTTTATTTACTCAATGGAGAAGCAGCTGGCCGAGGATAGCCGATATCATTTCTGTTTTTTGTTTGATGTTTGGGGACATTCCTCGAACTCTGGTGAGAATTACAAAGAGATGCATTTTGAGGGGCTCCTTTGTGATCACCTCTGGAGCCTTGAAGTTTCTCTAGTGCTCTTACTACTGCATTCATATTAGGCCTAAGCTTCGGTTCTGTTGACAAGCACTGCAGCGCGAGATAAGCAGCTTTCAATGCTGCATCAAGCGTGTATTGGCCTTCGATACGGGCATCCATAACGTGTAAAATCTTGCGTTTGCTGGTAAGGTAAGGCTTGGCCCAATCAACTAAGTTTTGCTCTCTTGAAGGTCTGTTCTTGTCCAATGCTCGCTTGCCGGTCAACATTTCAAGAAGAACAACTCCGAAGCTATATACATCACTCCTGGCCGTCAGATGACCTTCATAAGAAAGAATGAAGTCAAGATGTGACTAGGGAAGCTGCATTCTATCTTGCCCTAATTCAAGAGTGTCTCTTCGGAAGTTCAACTTCTTAAGATGCATTCTACGGTACCCTAACTTGAGTGTCTCAAATACATAGATATCAAATACACATCAGACATAGATACTTTAGGGAAAATGGAAGTCCAGGTAACTTAGGTTTTACATTTAATAGTATCATATATATAATAAAGTTGTTGAACTAAGGCGCAAACATTTCGTTAGCAGGATGATTAGGGAAGCTTCATTCTATGTTCCCCTGACTCGATATATCTCAAATACCCGAATGTAGTTGGACATACATGCTTTAGGAGAAATGAAGAGTTCAGGTAACATCGATTCCATTTGAATTGTATAAGATATAAAGTTATTCAATTCAACCAAGGAAATAGTTTACTAAAAATGAAGGTGGCAAGTTACAAAGCTACCTGTGGCCATATATTCAGGAGCTGCATAGCCATAAGTGCCCATGACCCTGGTAGAAACATGGCTTTTATCACCAGTGGGTCCATCTTTGGCCAGTCCAAAGTCGGACAGTTTTGCATTATAATTCTGTCATTTTAACAAAGATGTGAGAGAGCTGCATAAATCTGAGTAGGATTCATGATTTTTTTTTATAATTACTAATAGTTGTATTGCATACTGAATTACAGAATAAAGTAAGATATTCAAAGTTTCGAAGTCTTTCTCTATATAGTCATGAAAACTTTGAGAATTAAGCATGTTTGCACACCAAATCAAGCAAGATATTCAAAGTTTTAAAGTCTGATATGAAATACTTTGATAATTAAGCTGTTTGTATAACACAAATCAAGCAAGATATTCCAAGTTTTAAAGTCCAGATATATATAGTCATGAAAACTTCCACAATTAAGAATGTTTGAATACCGAATCGATCAAGATGTTTGAAGTTTTAAAGTCTCGATATATCACTTTGGCCTCATCAGAATGTAGAAATGCTAAGCCCTGGGCAGCACCAAGAGCAACCTTCATTCGGAGCTTCCAGGAAAGTGGTTGAAAATAAGAATTTCCTGTTAATTATAATGGAAATGTTTCAAGATGTTTGATTAAGATTATTCTTTTGAAATGGAAACACTCGAACTGACTCAATAAAAGAAGATTAACTCACTTCTAAAAAGATGATTTTCCAAGCTTCCCTTAGGCATGAATTCATAAACTAGAAGTCGATGATCGTCCTCTAAGCAGTATCCGATCAATTTCACGAGATTAGAATGATACAGTTGCCCCAGGTAGTTGATTTCCGCCTACAGTCCACATGCATCATTAGATTGGTAAATTATTTGAAGAACAAGTAATTCTTGCAAAACAGTAATTGGAGCAGAAGTTAAAGAACAAGTGCCAGATGAAGGTAATGATGGTTTTAGGTGGCTGGCTAAAATAATTATAACGACAGTTGCAAAGCAACGAGAGATCCAATTGTCCTCTCCGTCCTTTCCCTGTATCATCATCGGAGCAGGAAAAAATCCCTCTATAACTTTCAAGTTCTAAGTATGTTTCAAAATGAACAATATGCTGTTCAACAAACCCTTTGAAAATCATACCTTTTAAGTGTAAAATGCTAATGCACATGATATTATCCTTGCTCAACCAATATAATATACATAAATGCATACATATGTATGCATGTACATATACATATTAGCTGAATCTAAGGGATTTTGAATTTTGAGAACCCTGATGAGCTCAAGGGTGGAACTGGGGAAGACATGAAACTCACCAACCATTCCTGGTGACCCTGGAAACCCTCCTGGTTAAGCCTTTTGACAGCAATAACCAAGCCAGTACCAGGTTTAGCAGCAGTAAGTGAATTCTCATCAATCCAACCTTTAAAAACACAACCGAAACCACCTTCACCCAAAACACTGTCCGGTCGGAAATTCCTGGTGGCTGTTCTAAGCTCACTGAAGTTAAAACTCTTCAAATTTGAGGACTGCAAAATTTCCCCCTCGGTTCTAGGCCCTGAAACTGATGACACCCTTCTTCTTGAAACATCCATTTCTTCACCATTTTGACACCCTTCTGCAAGAAAAAAAATATCAAACACCTAACAGACATCAGAAAATGGACACTTGAAGAAAACCCATCGTGGTAAATGGAAATTTCTGAAAAGGGCAAGCATCTACCGTTGTGAAAAGGGCTCTCAGCTTTGATTCTTGCACTAAAACAAGACCCCATGAAAAAGAAAACTAAAATACAGAGAACAATTTTGATGCAAAGAAGGTATGAAGAAGGCTCGGGAAAAACAAAGGAAAACGAAGCATTCAAGTGTGAAAAAGCAAACTTTTTTTCTAATAGTCCAAGGCCTCAGGCTGTCACCCACGAGATGATACCGATCTTATTGAAAACTTTGACTCATAAAATAAAACAAATCACAAATAAATGAGAACACAGATTGAATAAAGAACAAAGCACGAGAAACGTCGGCTATATTTCAACCTTCAAAGGAAGAAACGACAAATAAAAATAAAGGCATAAAGGCTTGGGAAGACAAAAGTAAAAGGGTTGACTTAGCTTTTAAGCAAATGTCTCATCCTTCAATTTGTCTGCAAGTGGGGAGATTAAGTTCTGTGCTGTAATAATTTAAAGCTTTCACTTGCCGTCTTTTTCTTTTATTTTTTTGGGTTTCATACACATGAAAGAACAACCATGCAAGAACAGGTATTTATGAGAAATGCTGAGGCGCTTAATATACTATTAAAAAAAAGTGGTATTAATTTTGTTATTGGTTAAAAAAATAATATCAATTTTGTTATTGGTTAAAAAAAAGCGATACCGATTTTATTATTATTGTGTATAATAAAATCGGTAAAAATTATCGAAAATATTAATATTTCTATTGATTTTGTTATTATTTGTCATTTTACCGGGTAAAAAATACTGGTTTTGTTATTTTTGTGCATAACAAAACCGGTAAAAATTACCAAAAATATCATTATTTTAACAAAATAGGTAAAGCGTTACTGGTTTTGTTATTTTTTTACCGGTTTTGTTATTGTTGGACATTTTAACGGAAATGTTAAAAAATATTGATATTTTAGGTAGAAATAATATTGTTTTAGGTAATTTTTACCGGTTTTATTAACCTAACAATAACAAAACCGGTAAAAATAAATTTTTTTAATGATAAAATTATTAAATACAAATTATAAAATATTTTTAAAAATTCTTTATTATAAATATCAAATACAATAAAATAATATTATTTATGAAAAAAATAATAATATTATTTTTAAAATATTAAAATAATTTATTTAATATTATTTATGTCAATATTACTATTAAAATATTATATCTATAATTTTATAAATAAAAAATTATGATTATTATATTTTATTAAAATAAAATTATTATAAATTATATTTATTATTTATTATAATAAGAGTAATATATCATTAGTTATATTATAATGAGAGAATAATGAAACATATGTGTCGATACATTTTCAAAAAGTATCGACACATATGTTACATCGAAACCGATAATTATAATGTAATAGGTAAATTTACAATGTAACCGGTATAAATATACCGATTTTATGAGAGAATATGTCAACATAATGTATCGACAAAAATTTAAAAAAATGTCGATACATTTTGTCCAAAATGAATGCCAAACAAGGTGCACACATAAAGTGTCGATACATTTATTAAAAGTATCGATCCCAAAAACATCGAAACCAATAATTACAACGTAATAGGTAAATTTACAATTTACTCGGTATAAATATACTGATTTTATGAGAAAATAGGTCTACATAATGTATCGACACATTTTAAGTTTGTGTCGATACTTTTTTCCAGAATGAATGCCTAACGAGGTGCACACATAAAGTGTCGATACATTTAAAATTGTATCGATCCCAAAAACATCGAAACCGATAATTATAATGTAATAGATAAATTTGTAATGTTTATTTTAAAAATAATATTATTATTTTGTTAATAAATAATATTATTTTATTATTATCCTTGGTAACATTTTAAATGTTTACCTAATATGTTGTAATAACAAATTAAGTAATTAACAAAATAATGTTATATAAGCGGTTATTACTTAACTTGTACGTTATAAAAAGTATTAATGAGTTTTTACGTCATTAAAAACAAAAGAATCCTTATAATAAATAAATAATATTTACAAGTCCTTTACAAATTACGTTAATATGTATGTAATAATTAGATAATAAATATTTTTTACAATTCATAAGTAATTTATTTTCAAATAATATTCTTATTATATTACATTGTAAATTTAATTACAAGATTCAATTATTTTTTTCATTAATAAATGAATATAAAAAAATATTATAATCAATTAACATATCTTTTTTTTATAACGTACAAGTTAAGTAATAACAAAATAATATTATTACATTATAATAAACGTACAAGTTATTTTAAAATAACAAAATAATAATTAATCAGTTATGTTATCCTTGGTAACATTTTAAGTGTTTACCTAATATGTTGTAATAACAAATTAAGTAATTAACTTATTTTATTATATAAGCTCTATCTAATATGTTATTGTGCTTGATAATGTTTCCAGTAATTAACCTATTTTATTATATAAGTGTTACCTATTACATTATATAAGTGGTACCTAATATGTTATTGTGCTTGATAATGTTTCTAGTAATTAACCTATTTTATTATATAAGCGCTACCTATTTTATTATATAAGCACTAAGCCCTACCTAATATGTTATTATGTTTGATAATGTTTCCAGTAATTAACCTATTTTATTATATAAGTGATACCTATTACATTATATAAGCGGTACCTAATATATTATTGTGTTTGATAATGTTTCCAGTAATTAACATATTTTATTATATAAGCGCTACCTATTACATTATATAAGCGGTATCTAATATGTTATTGTACTTGGTAATATTTTCGGTTAAATGATATAACATAACCGGTCTAACCGGCCACGCCATTTTTTAAACGCCGCACACCAGAACTTCCCGGTATTTATCCATCATAATCAATGTGGTCATTATCGATTATTTAAAAATTAGTAAATGTTTAAGCTACATTTTTTCACTTTAAATGTTTAAAGTTATTTTTATTAGATATTTAATACTTTTTGTTATTATTTTAAAATTAACTTTGTCACGATCGTAAATGAAAAAAAAAAAGAAAGAAAATCATTCAAAATTTGATAGGCGACATTTTTATAAAATTTTATTTTAAATAAACTTAAAATTATTACTTAAAAAATTAATTTTCTTTGAAATCTCTAATTTCAAATATCATTATCTCCGTCAAACAGCCATCCATCGTTGATCGTCCATTCAATCACCCTTGTGATCGCCCCAAAATGGATGTGTTGTACTGTCCCGAAAAATAGGAAAAATAATTTTAGGGCTTATTTTGACTAAATTTAAGTTTTTCTTTAAAAATAATAATAAAGAAAGCAAGTCGAACGAGTCGTTGTCAATCTTTGTTTAGGGTGTGATTGGATTGAATCACCCAAAAATATTGTGTTATTTTAATAAAATTTTAATTTTAAATTTTATTAAAATAACTTTTTGGTATGTTTTCGAGGAAAATGAGTTCGAAAATCGATTATGTATGGAGAATGATTAACACCCCTACAACGTCGGAAATCAATTCCTAATCGATTAATTATTGTCTTGGCAATAGAATTTATGACTCCAAATTTAATTTAATTAATGGTCCCTTTTAGTTGCATAAATACAAAGTTATTTAATCCTAGAGAGAAAAGTTAATAATTCGTTATATTTGACTACAGAGTTAACCACCTAATACGAAGTAAGACGACGTCCCCTCCTTTTCAACCAAAGCAGTGAATTACAAATATTTCATCTCAAGAATTTTAGGGCAAATTGACAACACTTCGACATTTTGAACCAAAGAGAAATATCATTTGATATAAAGTAGAACTGTAACACCCATAGCCCGTAAACCTCTAATAATACAAACTATAGATGTCACATCAAACTGACTCACAATCACTCTTCACAGTTATTTGAAATTTTATTTCTTTTAAAACATTTCTAATTTCAACTTTTAAAAATATTTTTTTTTATTTTTTTGAACCATTTAAAAACATAACATTTTAAACTACTATACATATATATTCAGACATATCAAAATACTGATAAACTAAACCAGTCAAACTAAATAGTCCTAATTTACTATTACATATCATATAGTCATAACTGATAAACCAGGTTGATAATATAAATATACATGCCACTACTAGTCAAAAGAAACATCAGTGATGTCTTACCGAATACTGATATTATAGATGATATGCACAAGATGCTTGAGAGGCTCCTCACAAAACGTATGTGTCTCAATCAGAACCTACGCATGAAAATCATCACGCGCTAAGTATAACTTAGTGAGGCAGTAATACTAAAGGTGAAAACAAATAAATAAAATATTGAAATATATAAAATCATTAAAATAAAACAGGCTAAATTTTTTAGAACTTTCAAACCAGATATCTCATGCTGAACTTTATCATAAACCTAAAAAGAATCATCTGATAATTTTCATAAGATCATAATAAATCAGATCAGACAGAATGATCAGTCCATATTCCTTTGTAGTCAGATACTTTTCAGAACTTTCTTATTTCATTTTTATAGCCCAAAGTATATTTTAAGAGAATATAAGGTACGCGAGTCAGACGACTGTGCATAATATAGATCTCAGATCATCAGAGTCGGAACAGATAAGCACACACAGTGTTATCACATCGGAAATAACAATATGCACACCAAGTGCATTCAGATCAGAATATATATACTAGTGTACACTCTGGTACACCACAGTATATCAGAATCAGAACAGATAATCACTCTACCTCATGGCATGCCAATTGTACATATGACTCGCCATATAACATACAATGGGCTTTTTAGTTCATTTCGTAATCATTTGATAAAAATCATATTAGAATCAGAAATATATTTAATTCATATTCGTAAAATGTGACATAGGCAATTCATACCCAAAATTATTCATTTCAATTATTAAAAATATTATAGATATAATTTCATAATCAAAACATAATTCATATCTTTGAAATAAAAAAGGTGAGGTTGACTTATCGCAAGTCGTCCTCAATCAAAATAATAAAATAATAAACTGCACTCACCTTTGCCTCACTACAGAACTTGTATACGATAATACTAGTGACAAGCTTTGTCCTTTCCTTTCAGATCGTTCGGATTGCTAGTTTTATTGTAATCTGACAATACCAAATTATAACGCAAAATGTTTAAACAACATATTAGTATCGTTCTAATATAAGCTCATTTTGACATTTGAAAATCTATAAAATAAAATCGATATCAACCTAACTCATAACTCCATTATAACTTCAAACTT